GTGTGTGTGTATCTCTAAAATCCAGTATTTATTGTGTGCTTCTCATTTTGAAAGGGAAGTGATGAAATTGAAGTCATAATTCTTGACTTGCCTGAAGGTAAAGAAATTCAATGGAGCGGAGAGGAATTCAGGAGGATGAAGAACCTCAAATTTCTCACAATAAAAAGTGCAAGTTTTTCTAGAGCCCCTCAATATCTCCCAAATAGTTTACGTTTGTTGGAATGGAAGGGGTACCCTTTTGAATTCTTGCCTTCTAATTTTCATCCATCTAAACTTGTCCATCTTGACATGTCCAATAGTAGTTGTGCAGTGCTCCAACCATTTATTAAGGTATATTTATAACTACTCTTAGAACTACAGACTTCTTTGATTCATTTGTTTGATTTTTTTCAATTTTATTTTGCAGAAACTTGGGAGTTTAACTCACATAAATTTTAGCAAGTGCAAATTCCTAAGTCAAATACCAAACTTGTCAGGAGCTTTGTATTTAAAAGAATTGCGGCTTGATGATTGTACAAGTTTAATTGAAATCGATGATTCAGTTGGATCCTTGGATAATCTTAAAGAATTGAGCGCCATGCGATGCAAAAATTTGAAAAAATTTCCATCTACTATTAAGTTGACATCCTTGGAACAGCTAAAACTCTATGGTTGTTCAAGTCTTCAAAGTTTTCCAGATGTATCAGATAAGATGGAGAAGTTGAGAACACTTGATTTGGAGGGAACATCCATCCTAGGATTGCCATTTTCAATTCACTATCTTACTGGGCTTGAAAGCTTAAACATGGATGCATGTCCTAATCTTATGGAATTACCATCTAGTATTTGTATGCTGCCAAACCTTTCAGAACTAACAGCAAATTTTTGTAAAGAGATGAGGCATTTTGACATTGGTAGTGGTGGAAACAAAGGAAGCTTAGACTGCTCATCAATATCGTCGAAATTGAAAGAATTTTGTTTCTCAAATTGCAATTTATCCAATCACTCCCTTGCTCTCTGTCTCTCTTACATACCTAATGTTGTACGTTTAGATCTAAGGTTTAATAATTTCACAAGTCTTCCAGCATGCATAGAAAATTTTCACCATTTAAGATACCTTTTGCTAGATAATTGCAAGGAACTTCGTGATATTGTGTGGATGCCGCCAAACTTGGAACAATTCAGTGCCATAAGTTGCACATCATTGTCAGAGTTATCTAAGAGCAAAGTGTTGAATAAGGTCACTACCCCACTCCAATCTTTTCTTAATTATCTTATTTTGGTACTTAATTATATGTTATTTGAAATTTTTAGTAATATGTAATTTGCAGGCATTCTACTTTAAACCTGGGAAAAGAAATTTTATTTTGCCAGGAAAGAAATCCCTGAGCGGCTTGACTATTATAGTCGAGGAAGCTCCATGTCCTTTTGGATTCGTGATAAGTTCCCGACAATTTGTCTTTGGTTTCTTGTTAAAAATGACCAAGATTCTCCCTATAATTGTATGTTCTCAGTACACATCAATGACATCAAGTTTGATGTTAATTCTTCTGGGTGGCTTCTACTATCAACAATAAAGACTAACCATATATACATCTGTGATTTGCAAAGCATCCTTCGAAATGTTGAAATCCCTCGTGTAAATAAATGGAATCAAGTCCAGGTTTCGATCAAGAGCAATGGACGAGAAATGAACAGGGAAAAAGAAACTCATATTGCAGTTCGTGTACACAGGCAACAAAATATCTTATACGATATTCGATTTAGGGACCCTAGAATGTTCCCTGATGATGGAAGCTTATGGCAACAACAACAACCACCAACTAATGATTGGGAAGGGCTTGAAGATTATTTGCATTGCGAAGGTACTTTTCCCCCTTCTTTTGTCTGTCTTCCCATTGATTTTCTTTCTAATACATATTGACATATATCTTAATTACTACAACTTGTTGCAAAAAAGTACAACGACTGGAAATAAGATTGGGAAATAATATGACTTTGGATTTTAAAAAGAAATCATTCATAAACATGCTTTTAAAAAATAAATAATTTACATTGGACATTATTATTTAAATTTTTATTAATATTATAATTTTGGATTATTTAAAAACAAGGGATAAAGTGTATTTTTGCCTTGTACTTTCCTTGGAAGAGTGTTGGGTACTTTGACCTAATAAGTGAGACATCTTTTTTCTTAAATTATTTTCTAGAGGAGGAAAATCTCCTTCTGTTAATGGTTCACTAATGGAGAGGGATTTTTACTCCTATAAAAATGGTTTAGATGGAAAAATGACCCACTTGTTAATGCTGGGTACCTAGTGCTCCTTTGAATAAAAGCATAGGAGAAAAATAAACTTTGACCCTAAAAATAGTTACTTTGCAAATGACCCAACTGATATGTCTGTGTAAAAGTCTCCTTTGCTTTAATATGTTTAATCAGATACCATGTTTGCTGAACTTGAAAATTGAAAGGATGTTATGGGATTGAATGAAAGTTTTGGTGGTGGTAGTGGAGTTGGATTTTATCAAAATATATATTCCACTAATTATTTCACCTAGTAGGATAAAACTTATTATTTTTGTATATTCCACCAATTTTCCAACAATATCTCTTTTTTTTTAATGAATCTATAAAATATATGGTAGAACTAATGATAAAGAAAAAATAATTAAGCTTTTACTTGATTGGGATATGATTAGGAGTCCACTATATGTGATTTCTATAGTAGGAACTAATAAAATTTTTTAACTCACTTTTTATAATTTTTAATATTATTTTTTGATCAACTAATAATCAAAATTACTTTTTGTAAATGGTAGGACTCAGATTGCATTATTGATAAAAGTTGAAAGAGACTATTGCACCACAAATAAATTTAACATTTTCGAACTTCCTGAAATTATAATTTAGGAACTAATTTTCTCTTTTACTTTAATAGAAATCATAAAGTTAACCATTGTTTTTAGGAGTTTATTTTAAATATGATCTTATAAAATCTTTAAGATTAGGTGGATCTTATTTCCTAACTTTTCTTTAAATCTTTCAAGTGAATGACAAATGTTACCACTAAATAATAAATAATTATCTTCAATATATTTTATTTTTATGTAAGATTCTATATTTCAAATGAATGACGAGGTTCGAATGAGACAGTAAAAAATCTACGGGGCATAATAAAAAAGAAGCAAGTCAAAGAAGAATGAAGATCTGAATGCGTCTATTTCTTCAAATTCAAAATCTCATTCTTCCTCTCCCTCTTGATTCCCTTTTTTATTGCCTCTCTTGTTTTTTTTTTTTTTTTTGCCTGCCCAAGTCCTCTTTTTTTTTGGATAAAATAAAGTTAGCACCACTAAACAGTGGCCTTTACAATCCGTGCGCACGCCCTCTTTCTCCATGACCTTAGCTAATTCCATACAAGTCCTCTGTATGCTCTGTTATTGTTTCTCTCTCTCCCCCCGTCTTCATACATGAGAGTCAGATGAAAAAGACAGGCCATAGCCATTGAAGAAACAAGCCCTTTATTGTCAGCATCTTCTCATAGAGAAGTGCAAAAGCATGGCTAAATGAAGAGTGCAAAAAAATATCAAATTTCAAAATATAGAATCTTATGCTTTAGTCTTATCACCTTTTTACTTTGTAGTTTTCTTGTCAGTCTCGTTTTCAGTGTTCTCATTGCTCGAAAACTCTTTCAATTTGCTATTTCTTTCATATGGCTCTTCCGAAGATTTATTTGGACCTAATCTCAATCACAAAATTGCTCATATTTTCCAAATCTGCTATAATTGCTATTCAGGCAAAGATGTGATTGTGGCAAGTCGAGTTCATTCTTCTTCTCATATATAATTAGCTCCATCGACGTACATTATTTCTGTTTCCTTCGTGTCAAGTCCGGTGGTTACAAGCCTATTATTTTTAAAGAGTTGGATATTAAAAAATATAAAAATATTTTTTAATCTTTTAAGATATAATTATTACCTTTTTAAAAAAAAAGTGTTCTTATTGATTAATGATTTTATATTTATTGCAGAGTGTTTAATAAGATAAATATAAAAAATAGGGTTAGTTTGAAAATAGATAATTACTTTATTAGGGAGTGAGATTCGATTTAAAATGCCTTATATTTTTTAATGGAGGAAGTACAAATCATCAAAATCATCAAGTATGCCACAATAATTGCCCAATCAAACCAGCACAAGCTTTTGTTATTAATTAAAATCATTAACAAACTATAAAATATAAGTATAACACTAAAGAAAAGCCAACTACAAGACAAATAAAAAATACGAAATAATATAATTTTCGTTATTGAGATTTTTCTTAAAAAAATTAGGAAACTGGTTTTGACCAGTTTTCCACTGATTTTCATTAAGTTTGGCCGGTTTTAATCAGTTCTTGACCAGTTCACTTTATACTATTGTATTTTTAGAAATATGGTCTCAAAAATTATTTTTTTTTCTTAAAAAGGAAGTAATAATATATGTTCATTAGCATTATTTAACAAGTATATTTTGATATCGATATTATAATTGTAAAAAAATTTTAAAAATATTTTGTATAAATATAAAATTAATATATGTAAATTTTATTTTATAATATAGCAGCATATAAATGGCTAAATAATTCCAATATATAGATAAATTTAATTACACTTCCAATGTATTTACTTGATCAAGATTCCAAAATCAATTTCTTAATAAATGCAGTGAGAATAATAATATGATATAGAGTATTGGGGTTTTTAGTTTTCTCCATAAATAGTTTTTTTTTTTTTTGATCATATTGATTTAAAATATGATAACGGTTATCGGTAACGGATCACAGTGGGGCAAGGAACTTTGCAGTACCAAACCAACTTTACTTCGACTCCAAAGTAAAAAGTAAAGTGGACTGCGAACGTATAATTGGCCGACAAGAAAAATCAACCCAAATCAATTAAAGTTTCCAACTTTATGCTCCATTCACGGCTTTAAGATTATTTTCATCGATTTCAAAGTCAAAAGAAGCTCTATTATTCAGGATTTGAATTTTGTACTTGATACAGGCAATTGAAATGTTGATCTAGAAATTCAGATGGTTGCATGTATCAAATACAGTCACCAAATTCAAATCTATATTATTCATCATCTTCTGTGCTCTCGTTTCCAAAGAATCGTTTTTGATTTCTTCTACTAATCCCCTCTGATATGCATACCAGAAACCATGGCTGCTGAGTTTGTGGGTGGAGCATTTCTCTCTTCTGCTCTTCAAGTCGCTTTTGAAAAGCTGGCTTCTTCTGACGTCACTGACTACTTCCGATCAAGAAACCTGAAAGATGGCTTGATCAAAGACCTTCACACCACTCTCATCTGTGTGAATCGAGTGCTTGATGATGCAGAAGCAAAGCAGTACACAAACTCCGATGTCAAGAAGTGGCTTCATGAGTTCAAACATGCTGTGTATGTGGCCGATGACCTCTTAGATGAGATTGCCATTAAGGCTATCAGGTTGAAGTTCGAAGTTGAGAGTCAAACAGCTACCAGTAAGGTACGAGGCTTCTTCACTTCTTTTGTTAGTCCATTTGACAAACAGATCGAATCTAGGATTCAACAAGTTCTTCACGACCTGGAGAACCTTCGAAAACAAAGGGGTGATCTAGGATTGAAGGAAGGCTGTCGTGCTGGTAGCAAAGTTGGAGTTGGTGGGAAAGTATCCTCTAGATTGCCAACTACATCTCTGGTGGCTGATGAGTCACGCATATATGGCAGAGATGGTGATAAAGAAGAAATAATTCGTCTTTTACTTGATGAAGATCTGAGCAGGGACCCACTATCTGTGATTTCTGTAGTGGGTATGGGTGGGTCGGGGAAAACCACTCTTGCTCAATTGGTGTACAATGATGGGAGGATGAAGGATCAATTTCAACTCAATGCTTGGGTGTGCGTTTCCGAAGAATTTGATGTTCTTGGAATTACAAAAACAATACTTTCTGCACTTAAATGTCGAATAACAGGATATGAAGGTCTAAATCAGCTTCAATTGAAACTGAAAGAGAAATTGATGGGGAAGAAATTTTTGCTGGTTCTTGATGATGTCTGGAATGACCAGCAATACGAGTTGGAATCATTACAAGTTCCTTTTCGTTCTGGGGCTTCTGGAAGCAAGATCCTTGTTACAACACGTGATAAAAAGGTAGCATCAGCCATGGTCTCTGTTGAAGTGCATCGCATAGCTTTACTAAATGAAGAAGATGGTTGGAAGTTATTTGAGGAACATGCGTTCAAAAACAACGATGCTAGCTCGTGTTCAAGTCTACAGGCAATTGGCAAAAAAATTGTTGAAAAGTGCGACGGGTTGCCTCTAGCCATAAAATCATTGGGTGGCCTCTTGCAAACAAAATTTTCAGAGAAATATTGGAATGAAATTCTTGAGAGTGAGATATGGCAGTTACCAAAGAGTAACATAATGCCAGCTCTACGGCTAAGCTATGATTATCTTCCTTCTCATTTGAAGAGGTGTTTTGCGTTCTGTTCTATATTTCCTAAAGACTTTGAAATTGACAAGGAATCTCTAATCCAAATGTGGATGGCAGAGGATTTGATACGTTGCAACCAAGGAAATAAAAGTGTGGAGGAATTGGGGAATGAAATTTTGGAAGAACTAGAATCAAGGTCATTTGTTGAGAAATCAAGATTTGATGATGACAAATTAATCATGCATGACCTGATAAATGATTTAGCGAAATCAGTCTCCGAAGGATTTTGTTTGATGATGGAGGGTGATAAGGTGCAAAATAATATTAATGAAAGGATACGCTACTGTTCATTCTCAATTTTCGTCCCCAAGTTCGAAGAATTATCATTGGAACCTATTTACGAGTGTAAGCACTTACGATGTTTTGCTAGTCTACCACGAGAAAACGTTCTTATTGGTGGTAAGGTTGAGGTTGAAACGTTTTCAAGATTTAAGCACCTGCGAATTTTGAGCTTGGAGCGAGTTTCAACTAGCACTAAATTAAGTGATGTTATAAGGAATTTAAAGCACCTTCGCTACTTAGACCTCTCTCATAGTCATATTAAAAAGTTACCCGATTCAATCTGCACTATGTATAATTTACGAACTTTGAAATTGATCTGGTGCAGTGAAATTGTTGAGTTACCTGAGGATTTGTGCAAATTAATCAATTTGCATTATCTAGACCTTTCTCGTACTAGGATCAGCAAGTTACCTGATTCAATTTGTAAGGTGCACAGTTTGCAAACGTTGAGATTGCAATGGTGTAAGTCTTTGGCTGAATTGCCACCAGATTTGCACAATCTCATCAATCTTCGACATCTTGATTTGTTTGGGACTAATATAAGGGAGATGTCAATGAACATTGGAAGGATGGAACATCTTCAAGTATTGACAAGATTTTGTGTGGGAAAGCAAAGCTGGTCCAATATTAGAGAGTTAAGAAAATTCAATATTAGAGAGTCAGTCAGTCTTGAGATTTTTGAGTTGGATAACATCAATGATCCAATGGATGCCGGGGTGGCCAATGTGAAAGAGAAGAATCACTTGAATGAGTTAACTTTGGAATGGAGTGGAAAAAATGTGGATTCACAAAATGAAATGTCTGTTTTGAAGGCTCTTCAACCTCATATCAACTTGAAACGCCTTGCTATTAGAAACTATGGTGGCGCAAGGTTTGCGGACTGGATGGATGCTCCTTATCTACCTAATTTAGTATATCTTGGGTTGAGTGCATGTAAATATTGCTTTTGTTTACCACCACTTGGGCGGCTGCCCTCTCTAGAGAGGCTTGACATTTCTCATTTAGAAGGAATAAAGGAGATTGGGTCAGATTTTTACGGGGAGAATTTGTCAATTGCTGCGTTTCCATCCCTTGAACATTTGGCAATTGAAGATATGGGGGAATTGGAAGAATGGAAGCATTTTGAAGGTGAATGTTTTCCTCGCCTTAAACTCATGTACATAAAAAGCTGTCCGAAATTGAGGAAATCCCTTCCTCTATGCCTTCCATGCTTGGAATATCTACGTATTAGAGGATGTGAAGGCTTGGAACTTGAATCATTCCCTCTGAAAGATTCCTCTTATCCGAAACTTGAATGGATCACCCTTGATGATATGATCCAACTGAAGTCACTTCATGAAGACATGCATGCACAGCTCCCCTATCTTCGTGAATTAGCTCTAAGGAGCTGTCCACAGCTGCAATTGGTTCCTCAGAGAGGTTTTCCTTCGAGCCTTGTCTACATTCAAATATATCGTTGTCCGAAACTCATAGCTTGTCGTATGAGCTGGGGCTTGCACAGGCTTCATTCTCTACAAAGCTTAGAAGTGCGTGATCATGATTTTGAAAATGCCGAGTCTTTCTTAGAAGAGCAACATTTGCCGCCCAATCTTGTAATTCTTTATCTTGTTGGATGTTCAAATTTGACAAAAATAAACAACAATGGCCTTCTCTCCCTCACATCTCTTCGACGCTTAGAGATTAAGGATTGCCCAAATCTCGAGTGCTTGCCAGAGGAAGGTTTACCCAACTCCCTTTTTGAAATATCTATTAAAGGAAACAGTCCATTACTAAAGCAGCGGTACCAAAAAGTGGGTGGACCAGGCTGGCATAAAATTTCTCACATTCCAGAGGTGTATATAGATTAGATGGAAACGCATTCCCTTATCGGTATGTTTTTTACCTTCCATTGTTTTGACATTCACTTTTTTCTATTTTGAACTAAAAATAAGGCACCATATTTTGTAGTCTACTCAAAATCCACGAAATTATCATTGTAATTATTTTTTTAATGGGAATTTGAAACTCAATAAGCACCCAGTCTCCTAGTTTTAATCCTTGGATTAAAAATTATAGAGTTATTTTTTTGGGACTTTAAATTAGTTGTTTGGTTTCATCTATTTACTTTTTTTCTTTTTTTCTTTATTAAGTTGAAACTTATTTTTTGAAAAATATATTAAAATAATTCTTTAAAAAAAATATAATTATATATATTCTTTATAAAATTAATATTAGAATGAAAAGTAATTTTTTTAAAAAATTGCATATGATAAATAACTATCAATTATTTTTCATGATATTAAGTTAAAAGTAAATTTGAATTTTTAAAGGGATTAAAAAATTGTAATGACAAGAAACGTCTAAAAATTATAAAAATATTATAGTTCATGATAATTCTCAACAAAAAATAATACCATAAAAATAAATATAATTAAAAAAACAAAAATGGCATTTGTTGGAGTTGGAGTACGCCCCTACCCATAAATAAGAAGCCTTGCACTATTGAATCCCTTTACAATAAAATATTGTTTCTTCCGTGGCTGAACCAATATTGTAATTTTAATTTTTAATATTTTACCTTTCTTTCGTCTCTTGTTGACAGTTCATTCATTCATTCATGCACCCGGGAGTTATGATGCATATATAGAGTTTCGTCCCTAATATTCTTTCTTAATTAAAGGCTAGTACTTTAATATCATTGCGTTTCTTGGATTTAATTTATTTTTTCACTTTCTCTATCTTTAATAAAATTAAAAACGATGTGCAATTGTTAAAAGTATTTGTGAGCAGCAAAATTATTGCAGAAAAACGTGAACGTGTACGAATCATTAATAAATGACGACATCTTCTAATCGTTGCCACTTGTTCAACCAAACTTTGAAATTAGATGATTTTTTTTTATTTTTGGTAAACGAAATTAGATCATTTTAAGTTGCATGTGTTCAGATTGTATTTTGACAATAATAATCAGATTTGAAAACTTTTTTATTTATATCAAATAATTTCATGTAAATAATTAATAATTTTAGGAAAAAAATTCGTTACTTTAAAATTTCTCTAGCCAACTTTAAGATAGTTGAAGGATTGATTGATTTATTTATTATGATTTTTTTTAACAAAAAATCATTAATTATACTTTGAAAATTAAAAAAACTTATATTTTTTAATATCTAATCTCAAAAAAATGCCTTACATTTTTTTACTAGAGGTAGTAAATGATTAAAAGGAAGGGGTATTTTAGGAAATCAACATACAATTTTTACAAGTAACCAACTTAATTAATTTCCTTAATCTATGTGAATTAGTTATCTAGCTCTTTCATTGAGGATGGGAAGGAGTATTTGATTTTACAGCAAGATTTAAGCTCCGTGTACATGTTTAATTATGATGCTATCTCCATTTACTTAAAAGCTCATTGTTGTTACTTGTGTATAGCCAGACACCAAGTCTTTGGACTATCCTGAGTTTCCTCAGCATATCATGGTGCTTTTCCTGTAAGCAACATGTGATTCCGCTAATGATACTACTCTTACATTGTCGGTAGTTTCCAAGGATGTGTTTTAGCCTTTTAGGATCCACTTTTGTAGGCTCTTTTTGGACGTGAAAATCCTAATAATATGATCATCATGAAAAGTTTCATAAATCTATAACCGTTTTTCTTGCCTTAACAACAAGCTCAAGAATTTTAAAAGGTAGCGCCTTAACTTTTTCATTCATTCATTCATTGAGTGTTCATAATTCTACAACCACGATAAATGTCGGTAATTATGCCCTCACGACTACATAGAAACTCATGCACATCATCTGATTGTGTGGCAAAATTTACATGAGTTTTGTTTTATCTAACACCTAATGCATATCAGCAATATTTTGAATTTCAAAGCAGACATGTTTGCCTGTGTAGTTATGATTCTATCTGATGCTTTTATTTTTCTCCATGTGCGGAAATGCTAAGCCACATACCATGGATTTGGACTATCCTGAGTGTCAAGGTGTGAAAAGTAAATTTGTGAAGATCCCATCCTCACATGAAATTTTGTCCACAGAACCACATGGTCGAACCTTCCTCTATCCAACCTCATCTTCCCATGTGATGGTAGTCCTAGTTGTGGTCTTCATCTACCTCGGCATTGTTCAATAAGATAGTTATCAAAAGTGCAAATGAACAGTGGGGTTGGATTCTATTCACTACCCTAGTTGTGATGTTGCTCTTAATTTTCTACTGAGAGGAAGAAAGGAGGATCCATCATTTTCCATTTATTATACTTGCTTATCGTGGTTCTGTAGGAATCACTTTCCTCGAAAATAAAGTTTTGCTCTGTTTGGTTTCTTTTTCTAGAGGTTTGAATTCCTAGATAAAGTTACTTATTATTGTGATGAATTTGATAGTAAAATGACGAAAATCTATAGTCGTTTTTACTTTCAATTATCCGATAATAGGAAACTTTCAATCTAACCACAACAAAATGACAAAATATATGATCGGAGACAGAGCTGTATGAATTTGGTTTAAGATATGGAATCTTGTTTATTTAGAAAGAAGTTTGCTAAATGAGGATCAGAACTTCTCTGACTACCCTACTGCCAACAATTGTGAAGATATTGAAGTTCAGTTTTAGGCATGTTTGAGAATTGAATCATAATTGATCACCATAGAAAAGCTTTATATATGCCTTTATACTTCTTTATATGCTCTTCTTTTATCTCATGGTTTGTTTCTTCAACAGAAGTCGACAAATCTTTTAAATTATTTATAACTGATGCTAAGCACCTGAAGCTTGCTTTGTCTTGCATCTACTTCTCCTTCTGTGTCTTCTTTTCTCTTTTGAATTTTTATTTGTAGTTGGATTTGCATCTGAAATAAGTTTGCCAAGCTTGTTTGTGAAAGTTGCAACAAGTGACAAGTAACAAAAGCTAATGGCACGCTGAGTATTCAAATTTATTGATAGTTGCAAACGATCAATGGTAGATATTGTCCTTTATTTTCCTTTGCTGCTTTGTTTGTTTAAGATTGAAATTTGTCCTGTAACATTTCAAAGAAAAGGACAACCAGTGTATAACTATGAAGTTATTCGCAATAGTATTTTATGAAACTAATTGATTCCATTGTTCATTATGACTCTTTCTTGCTAAGACTGAAGAGTTTTATTACTTATCCTTATTCCTCAAAAAATCTAGTGAAGCCACGATGGATTGCTGGGCTTTTGGGATTCATTCATTTTCATTATATCTGCATTTGTTGTTATAATCTCAGTCGAGTGGTGAAAATTGGATACTTCTGTGCCTGACATAATTTATTTTCAATTCTAATAATGCTCAGCACCATTCATGGGTTGATTCTTGAGGGTGGAAGGCTTTTATCTTAATGTCTTTTGGAGCATAAATGAGCTTGTTGACTTGTCAGAATAAGTGAAGTTGTGGAATATTTCAACCGCCATTTCATTTGTTTTTTTTTTTTGAATTTGCAAGCAGGCTAGAGATGCTGTCAAAGCTATTAAAACAACTAAAGAAGGAAAAAGGCTTTGTGGCAAATCCGAATAATTAACTTCATTGGGTCATGGTGAGCATGCAGTTCTTCATCTAATTCTTGTCACAGTCTATTCCTCAAACAAGAATCTCCATTATGAAATTTTATAAGACTGAATTTACAATCCTTGTTGCGAACAAGATGTGAAAAAGAGGAAAAAAGAAGGCAGTGCAATTATGTTTCTTGATTCTCTTCTTTATGTACCTTTAACTCTTTGGGTTAGTTTTTAATGCTGGGTCCTATAAATAGAGGTGATGTACACTTATTTGAGATAATGAAATGAATGAGAACTTCTCCTTATCTTCTCTCCCAATTCTCTCCTTTCTTCGTCTCCCTCATCCCAATCTCTTGTAGTTTTCTTTTCTTCATAATGCTCTTGTTGGAAGTTTGAATCTTTTACTTTCCTATCATCTCTTGTTGGAAGTTTGTAGTTCTTTATTCGTCCATCCGGGAGTTATGATGCATATGGAGTTTTTGCACCGTTGTTCCTTCTCAATTAAAGGTTAGTACTTTAATATCATTGTGTTTTTTGGCTTTAACTTATTTTTTTTGCAGTTTCTCTGTCTTAGAAAATTAAAAACAATGCCATGAAAACTTGTAGCTTAGTGGTTAGTGTGCTTCACTCTCAACCTGCAGATTGCAAGTTCGAATGGCAGACCCAAAAAAAAAATTAAAAACAATGTGCAAGTGTTAAAATATCTGTAAGCAACAAAATCCTTGCAAGGCAAAGTGAATTTGTGCAACTCATTAATAAATTATGCCCTATTATAATCATTGCCCACAAAACTTAGAAATTAGACGATTTTAAATTATATATGTTAAGATTGTAGTTTGACAATAGTAATCATATTTGAAAATAGTTTTCTTCGTATAAAATAATTTCATGTAAATAAATTTTCCTTCATAATACCATGATTATCTTGCAAAAATTTATAAATGTATAAGCTTAGCTAGCTAGACTTGTACTAATCCTTAATATAATAAAAATATCTAAAATTTATTGTCAAGTCGCCCCTCTATCATATTTCATTACTTGACAACCTAAACTCCTATCACATAGACAAATGTCATTCATGGGAACTTTAGTATTATCTAATTTTGCAGCAAAATTTAAGCTTGGTTTACAGGTTTAAGTATGATGCTATCTCTTTGACTTAACCTCAATTTTGTTCATTGTGTAGGAATGCTATGCCAGAAGATACCAAGTCTTTAGGCTATCTTGATGAGATTCTTTGAATCATATGCCATCCCATATACTGCCATTCCTAGTTGTAATTTTCATCTTCCTTGGCATCTCATGGTACTTCTATAAGCAGCATTGTTGGATTCTACTTGTGATGCCAGTTATGATACTACTCTTACTTCAATGGTAATTTCCAGAGATGCATTTTAGCCTTTTCAAAACAACTTTTGTAGGCACTATTTGTTTCTTCAGTGGAAGTTGACAACTTTCTTAGTGATCCATAACTGACATTTAACACTTGAAGCGTAATCTGTTATGCATTAGCATTCCCTTCTATATCATCTATTTACTTCTAATCTTATTTATTTGTTAATTGATTTCAATCTAAAACATAAACAAGAGTATTATTGTTGCAACTGTTTGAAACTGATTAGTTTCAAAACATTGAAATCTGTGAATGAGTTGCTCAATTCAAAGATATCTATAGTGCATTTATGTCCTTCTACGAGACTTTTTTCAGGATTGATTACTGTCCTAGAACATTGCCAATGGTATTGTATGATGGTATGAAACTAAACTGAATATATTGTTCAACATGATTCTTTTCCACTAATGTTTTGCTACAATCCATAATTCCCTATGAAAATGTAGTCATGCCAAAAATTGATTGCTGGTCGCTTGGGATTCCTTTGTTTTCATGATGACTGCATTTTCTGTGAAAAAGTCTTAGTTCAGTAGAAACAATCTGATGTGTTGGTGCCTAACTTAGTTTTCAATTTTAAGAATGTCCACCTCGATCCATAGCTTGATTGTGGAGCCTGAATGGCTTTTATCTTGATGTATTCAACCATGGTACATATATTCCTAAATTTGAATGCTAGCTAGTGATGTTAAGGCTATTAAGAAGAGGCATTGTAACAAAAATCTCAATACCTTCAACCATTATGAGAATGTTAATCTTCATGTAATTCTTGACACTGTCTATTCCTCATGCTTCATTATGTAATATTACCCAACTAGAAATTTACATTCTTTGCTTTCCTGTTCTATGATGTTGTACTAAATGATCTGTTCATCTGCTAATTTTCTAGCAGATGAAAATGTTAATCAATAAAATTGGAGACCATATTCAAAACTAAAGAATTATATTCCATACAGCAATGGCAAACAAATTTTATGGTCTTGGCTTTTCTATTCATGCCGCTTAGATTGAAGCAGAGAATTAGAGAATATTCTTGCAAGATTGAGAGACCTATCTGCTCTTAATTTTCCATGGTTATTTCAGATTAGTTAAGTTCACCGTTGGCTCTTCAACATGAGAGGAAGAACTGAAGACTTATCGTTTTCACATCAGACAGGTGCTCACGGTTTCTTTTATTGTACTCTTGCTCAATAAGGTTCTGTAAGAACCTTCCTTTCTTGAAAATAAACTTTTTCTCTGTTCGGTTTTTCCCCCTAGAGGTTTGACTTTTTGGATAATGTTTTTTTTAGTTTGAAGGATTTGATAGTAAATATGAAAAGCCATAGTCTTTTTTCAGTTCATTTGCTAGATAATTGAAATATATGAGTCTATGATACTGATCTTCTTACTATTATCAACATATGATAGTATATGGTGCTCTGTGAAGGTAGTTTGAGATATGGAATCTTGTTTATATGCAAAGAAGTTTGCTGAATGAGGATCATAACGGGACTAACGGTACTATGCTTAAGGGAATTGGGAATAAACACAATTGTCCAACACATTGAAATTTCACTTTCCGTTGTGCTTGAGAATTGAATCATGATCAATCACCCTATAAAAGTTTGGGAATATTTTGCTTTCTATTTATTTGTCCTATGAAGGAAGATGTTATATGGCACTTCTCAAGAATTTTGAATATCAATCAAGTGAATGATCAATTGCCTCCAAAAGTTTCTCTTCATTTAGTCCTCACTAGTTTATTTCTTCAGCAGTTGACAAGTGTTCTAATTTATTTAACTGAGATTAAACACTTCAAACTCCCTTTGTCCTGCATCTGCGACTCTGAATCATCTGTTCACTTTTAACTATTTTTAATTTGTAGTTGGATTTGAATCTGAAGTAAAGCTTCCAACCTTGTCAATCAACGTTGCAACAAGTGAATTACTGGCAAAGACTAATGGCACTGAAATTTATGAATTAGTTGCTCGTAATCAAAGGTACTACAGTCTTTTTATCTCCTTTTGTGACTTTGTTTCTTTAAGATTGATAAATTTTCAAGAACATTTTAAAGAGAAACGGATTCATTCATTTTCATCATGTTTACATCTGTTGCTATAATCTCAGTTGAGTGGTGAAAATTGGATACTTTGGTGCCTAATATGCTTGGTTTTCAATTCTAATAATTAAGTTCACCACCAACCATGTCTTGATTCTAGAGGGTGTGTAGTTTTCTTTTCCTTTCTTTTTTTTGGATAGAGGAGGCTGTATAGCTTTTATCTTGATGTCTTTTGGAGAATAAATGATCTTGTTGAGGTCCCAGAATAAGTGAAGTAGCCAATTTTTCAACTTTTAACCATTTTATACTTTTCTGAATATGCAGGCAACCCAGAAACGCTGTCAAAGCTGTTAAAAAGAAAAAGCTTTGTAGCAAATCCCATTAATTATCTTCATCAGTCTTGGTGAGTATGCTATTGTTCATGTAATTCTTGACTTTGTCTATCCCTCAAACAAGAAGCTTCGTTGTGTAATTTTAGGAAACTGAAATTACAATCCTTGCTTTTCAGTTGTATGGTGTTGTGCTGAATGATCTGTTCATTCACTGATTTTCTAGACGTTGGAAATGTTGACAAATAATATAGGAGAAAATCATGTTCAAAGTCAAAGAAGAATCATGCTCCATCCTGCAATTGCCAACAGATTTAGTGGCCCTACCTTTTGTTGTTGATGCTACTTGTATTGAAGCAGAGAAGTTAAACATTGTGCCTTTATAATGTAGAGAGCTTGTAAATTATTGATGCTATTTCTTGTATAGCAATTTCTTTAAGTACTTGAAATTAGTTATGTTGCTTCAGCGCTACTGGGGCCATAGAAACCTATTGAAGGTGTCCATTGGAGATTATGATAATGTTTGTATATAGATTGGTCATTAAGAGATTAGAACTTTCATGTGGTAACCAAATTCTATGTTCTTTTTTAAATGGAGTTTTTGGTTATTCTCAAAATTATTCTTTTTTTTTAATTTATAGAATATAGAATCCAGGGTTTGTGTTGTGGTTGCTACAACTAAGGAAATTGTTGGTTTTGAACAACCATTACATATGAATCTGATTTATCATGTGCTGATACAACTGATTTTGGTTGTGATGCCTCATAAATATAATATTTTATTGCATTTATGTAACATTTTCCTTGAATCAGGGCTTATGAGCTATGTGCGGCACTATGTCTCTCCTCTTCTAACTTATTATTCATCTATACCTTAATTTACTTATCATGTGAGACTTATGGAAGGAGTTTAACTGAGCAAAAGTAGCAAGGCAATTACGTTCTCTCTTTGCATTGTAAAAATGGAATCATAGAAAAATATGGTAATGTGATTAGGGAAAAGCCAGCAAGATTCCTTCTAAATTTGATATTACAAAAAGTCAATGTATTCATAACAATACTAATGCAAAAGTACTGAGTATTCACACAAGGCATCAGTTAATAGAATTCATAATTGGTATAATATTGCAAAAGATGGCTCCAGTAGCTCTATTTAGGTTGGGCAAGATTTAAATGCTTAAGCTTATATATGTAATTGAGCAACATTTATATATATATATATATATATATAACTAAATCAAAATAAGTGAATTTTTAATATATAAATAGTAATAATAATAAAAGTTAAATAATTGCGCAACATCACACTGCTCATGATGACTACTCAACATAGTAAATTTCAAAATTTAGAAAAATTGGTTAATTTTTACTTTTAATTCTTTTTCAGCATGAAAAAATTAATTTTATTAAATTTAAGTACTTGAACAGGAGTTAGAGTGCTGGTAACATAGGTCCTCATAGTGATGGACCCAGAAAATTGTCATTGGGGGCAAAATTTATATAATATAAATATTAATATTTTGAAATATATTTTAATTATTTATTAAATTAATAAAAAATAAAATCATGAAATTAAATACATAAGAAGCAATAAAATAGCTACAAAATTATAATAGCTTAAAAAATAAAATCATCTTAATACAAGCAAACAATATATTGTAAATGATAAAATAATTAATAGTACCTCTGTTTCAAATTATAATATGCTTTTAGGAAAGATTCAATGTCTTAAAATATAAAACACTACATTTTTTAGGGAGATTTGGTATCCTAAAATATAAAACATTTTGATAAAAATAAAGATTCATCAATGATACTTTTTTAATATTAACCTTTCCATTATATTTTCTCTTTAATATTCTTTCGCAAATGGAGTATTAAATAAAAAAAATGATAATAAAATACCTTTAAAATATATAAATGATAATTTGGTCCCTCAAAATGCCATAATTCCTCTAAAGTCGTTAGGAACTTGTTTGTCATTAATGAATTTATATAAATTATCAAATTATCCTTGTTAAAAATAAATGATTCATAACTTTTCTTCTTATATTCACAATTTTTCTTCTTATATTCGCAACAATACAACAACAAACAAGGAATTTAACATTCAAAGTTGTGATTTGTTGTTGCATTGTTGTGAATTTAAGAAGAAAAGTTACGAATATAAAAAAGAAAGTTGTGAATCATTTATTTTTAACAAAAGTAATTTGATAATTTATATAAATTCATTAATAATAAAAAAGTTTCTAGGAACTTTAAGAAAATTATGGCATTTCGAAAGATTAAATTATTATTTATATATTTCAAAATATTTTGTTGTCATTTTTCCTTAAATAAATGACATTTTTAAAAGTTTACATTTTTGTTTTGAAAAAAAATAAGTTTATAAAATTATTTAATGACCTTTATTGATATATGTAATTTTCTCAAAATATCTTATAAATTAAGATAAATAGAGCAGCTATTAATATCATACTTTGATTCTCTTTCTGGATGAAAAGAATCATACTCTTTTTGAATAAATATTTTTAATATAAAGAATTAAAGATAGTTTTTCAACTTTACTCTTTATACTAATAAAAAAACGTGTTACTTTAAGTATGAATGAGTAGAAATTAAAAAGTTTAAAAAAATCTGACCTTAATATCCCTTAAAAAAAAGATTAATATTTTATTTTGATAAGTAGAAAAATATTGTATAATATTTAATATATTTTTATATTTATATAATATGAACCAACATTTTTATTAGTTGCTCAAATTGGTATCTCTACCTACTATAAAATTAGCAATACAAGTAGCATTAGCTTCCTTGATTGGATCAGTTTTCATGCGCGAAAACTAAAAATTTTTAACAAAAATCTGAAGTGCTGAGAGCAAAAATTTTTGGGAGGGGGAACAAATGACAATTTTATGGAAGGGACAAGTGAAATTTTCCCCGTTATAACTAAAAGATTTCATTGGATTTAGTGGGGGCAGCTGCCCCCATGAGGCTACACGTAGATTCGTCTCTAGGGCTGCAGGTTGTGGATTGTGCAGTGTGAGCTAGCATAACCTACATCTTGATAGATTGTATTTTTATCCATCTCACAACCTATAAGGCCGCGAACTTGCCAGTTAAACATATATATATATATATATTATATATATATATATATATATTACATTTTTTTTAATTTTAAAAATTACAAATTGATCTCTTTTTAATATATTTTTATTGTAAAAAAAATCATATTTTCTTTTTAAAAACTAATTATTCAAATACCAATAAAACTCATTCTAAATCATTAAAAAACACATTACAAATTTAAGATACATAATTTTAAATTTCCTCCCTCCTTCAATTGTCTATCCATATTTTCTCTATCTCTCTCTCTAATCTCTCTCCTCAGTTGTCTATCTTGATCTCCTCCATACTTCATTTCTTATAGTTATGAAACTTAAATTTCTTTTGATAATCAGCTCTAAGCATGGATTTGATGATTGAATACTCAGCCCTGGAGCTTAATGGAGCAGATTAGTTTGATGCTAAATTTCAATTTCTTCCCTCTTTAATTTATGGTTTTATTTATGCTCTTTCATTTCTACTAATTAATTCCGGTGATAATTAATTATGTTGGAAAATTAATCACCTTTAAATTGATTGATCTAATAATACACATTGCTAGCTAGCTCTTGTGTTATTGATTAATTACATATAGCTTTGGGCCAGGATTGAACTGAGGAGTTAGCTAGTATGACCATTATACTCTTTTAGTGCTTTTCAGTAGGTTAGACACTCTAGTGATGTGCTTGACTCATGGAGAAAAATATGAAGGAGAGAAAATGAGAGGAGAGAAAAGTGAAGGAATTTAATTTTCTCTCATTATGCTTTGCTAAGTAAGAGAAAATAAAGAAAAGAAAAAAGTTATTAATTTTTTTACAAACGATAATAACCTTATTATTTATAAAAATATTTATATAATAAAATTTAATATTTTAACATATTATATATATAATAACTTCTACCATATATTATTGACTGAACAAAAAACATAATTAAAAATTATTTTATGCAATACTTATAAAAATATTTTATTTAATTTAAAATTCTATTTATTAAATTATTAAATATATAATAATCTTAAAATTTAAAACTACAACCAAATACAAAATACTTAACTTAAAATTAACCTCAAAATTTAGAATTATAATTTATTTAATTAATCTAAAAATTAAATATATTGCTTGTTTCATAAAATTTTATGATCAAAATATAACTACACTACAAATATCATGATAAAAATGAAAGGAAGCAAGAGGCAGCAATGCAAAAATTGTTGGGTAAATTTAAAAATAAAATTTTCACTCCAAAATCTTCTCATATTTGAAAAAAAAAAGTGGAAGGAAAATAACATGTGGATCTCATATATTATTTTTCTACCACTTTTCACTCCCCTTCACTTTTCTTTTTATAGTCAAGCAAGAAAAAGTGTTGTTCCCCACTACTTTTTCCTCCCATTTTCTCTACCCTTCACTTCACTTTCCTACCAAGCATAGTACTAGGTGATTGGTTAGAAAAAGTGAGAATGACAGTTAAATTCCAAAAAAAAAAATTAATGATAGTTAATTCTATTGCAAGTTTAAAATTTTCAATTGAAAATACAATATTTAAATTCTAAATATAACAATTAATTTGTAACTTGGATTTCTATTTATAATTGTATGAATTGATATTTATAATTATTTTATAGAAAATTTTGTTTAAATAATTCTTTTGAGATTTTATTGTCATTCTTCCTTAGAGAAATTTTCTGTCATAATCCACTGGTCCATTGCATTTCAAGCTCTGTCCAGATTGTTAGATATAATGTTAAAATTGAATTATTATCATATATTTATGGTTATAATGCCTACCGGCTATATTTTAATTTGTTCCATTATTCGCACAGCTATGGAGCATCGTCTAATAATTTTAATAACTATTTTTATATATGCATGGAAAAATCTTAATTATTATCATGTATATGCTGTGTTTTTTTTTATATAACACTATAAAATCCTTCAAATATGTGAGGTTGTAAAGCATATTTTCTTACATGTATTGTACTTTATAAGCCTCTCTTCTTTTAATGCATAATGCATGGTTACTAGGTTGTATACTTGTGTTATTAAAATTAGGGGGAAAACATGTAATAAATATGAATCAAATAACATTAGTTAATTATATTGGACAAGTTGATGTTGACGGAGAGTGAAGCTGATTGCTAAATGTGAATGAGGAGGAGATGATGAGGGTTTTGTGTAGAGTCATAATTTTTTTAAGAAAAAATAAGAGGACACCATGGGTTAGCCTATTGTAGGTTCAAGTTATGTGGTGCGAGTCAAAACCCGACCCGCATATAAATGAACTCATTTTTGCCAACCCACCCCTTCACTATTTAGTGGGTTGGCACCAACTCTAACAAAAGTGTAACATTTTGAATTGGGGAATCATCGTCCATATATCTTAAATAAATAGATTTCATTCAAGCTACATATTGAATACAAGCTCCTATAGGATCTATGAGCAGAAAAAGACCCAAGATATTAGAAGAAATGAAAAAAAGAGACTTCAATGAAAGAGAAAAACTTATTTCAAACTCAAAATACAAAATACACCAAACTACTTACTTTTTACTCCTCTCATTTACCCCACTTTTCCTCTTTTTCTTTTGCCTCTTTCTTCCCTATTACTCCTTGCTCCCCGTCTCAAAACATCTTCTCTCTTCGCCAACTATAAATAAATAATAAAAATAAAAAGTGCAACTTGAAGAGCAAGAGAAATGAAACTTTCAAGTAAGAAGAGTGTCTTGTTGAGTAAGCACTTTTTTCATCTATAAATAGGACACTTAGATAAGTTATTTGCATAAAGAAAGTGGAAGCAAGAAAGCCAAGTGTGGTGAAAAGAAGAGAGACGGTGGGGAAAGAAGATGTCTTCAAGGAGAGAGCGAGCAAGAAGAGGAAGAGAGGAAAGAGAATTAGAAAAAAGAAGAAAAGTGGCATAAGGGGGGATAAAGAGTAAATAGTCAGTATTTTGAAATATTTTGTAATTTGAGTTTGAAATAATTTTTTTCTGTCATTAAAGTTCCTCTTCTCATTTCTTCTGGTATCTTGGGTCTTTTTGGCACATAGATCCTAAGTAGTATTAAAGCTTTGGTTCTAAATATACTCTATGGTTGCAATTTAGTCTAGTTTACCACATTAGAAAAGAATCTAAGTGCTGAAACTATTCTAGGTTTTGTTGTATGACATCATCTTACAAACTATTAACTTTTTATTGGTAAGAGAAAGAGAAAATTTTATTTCCAACTTAAATTACAAAATACGTCAAATTTCTAATTTTTTACTCTCTCTCTCTCCCTTTGTGCCACTTTTCTCCTTTTCTTCTTTTCTTCGTTCTCGTCCCTTTCTCCTACTCCTTGCTCACTTCCTCATAACTATAGTTTGTAAAATCAAATTGGACCAAACCGGCTAGCTTGGTGAACCATCTGTATGTCTAGTTTGGTTTTGTGATTTCATTGGAAGTTAGTTGACTTGGGTTAACTTGGGTGACTTGGGTTTAACTCGCTCAACCCCATGAGTTATTAGGTAGTTGGACAAATTTTTTTAGCTCTAAAAAAAATTAAAAAAAAAAGCCCTAAATGATTGACTCAACTTAATTAGAAGCTCAGATTAGGGACCTTCTTCACTTCTCCGCCTTGCTTTTAGACTCATGTTGCCTTCTCGGCTCTCCCTCCCCCTCATCAGTGGCAATGTTGCTCATATGCGATTCCCTTCTCTTCTCGGCATTCTTAGCCATTGACCCAAAACCCATATTGAGTGCTAAATGCATTTAAAATGAAGGTTAGGAGACATTGAGATGCAAAGACAGAGGACAAAAGAGGAAAAATAGCATCTGAATGAGAGGGAGTGAGGTGAAAAAAAAAAAGAAATGGTGTGTGAAGGAAAGAGAAATGGTGTTTGAAAAGTGAATGATAAAGAAAGAGAAGAAGAAAAGGAGGGAGAGTAATTGCCAGTTGGGTAAAAGGAGAAAGTAAAAAGCATTGGTGTGTCATTGCTCTTTATTTGATTTTGGCTACTCTATTTTTATTTACTTGAACACAGTGCCTTGATTAGATTAAGAAATATTCATATTATATTAAGAAATATTGATATTATATTATATATTATATATTATTATTATTGTATAGCACAATAGTTCTAAAAACATAGATTGTATGTTGCATAATACATTAGTATGTTTTTATTATTGAATTTGGTATGTTGTATAATCTTGAATTTGAAAGAACATTTTAAGGATTAATGTGTTTTTATTTAAATTTATTATTTTATTATGATCGGTTTGACTTCAGTTTGACTCCAATTCAATCTTAATTGAACTCTTAACCCCTGACCTTTGATCTTGATTGGTTTAATGACTAGTCCAATTTTCAATACCTTAGTTACATCACCATCTCTCTTCACCACCCCTCTCCTTTTCATTACACTTGGCTTTTTTACTTTGACTTTGCTTACACAAATGACTTATCCAAATGTTTTATAGATAGACAAGTTTCTTTTATCTTGCTCTCCAAGATGAACTTTTATTTTTATTATTTATTTATTTTAACCCTAAAATTAGTGATGACTTTAACATCTCATCTGACAAATCATTATTCATTAAGTTATTTAGCTTAAATGGCTCTGTGAACCGTATAGGCTCCATCTTGAATTTCGTATTACTTTTTGATTTTCTTTTTTACCCCATTTTTTAAGTTCCAAAATTTATAATAAAAATATTCTTATTTTCATTTCTATGTCTTTTATTTGTTTTGAATTTCAAATTTTAAAATAGAAAATACATGGTAAAAAGTAGATGACATATCTTTTCTCTATTGCTTTTCACCTTTTCCTCTTTCACCTCTCCAATACATTGTAAGTTTTCTCACATGTAATGCCTACTCCATATTAATTGGTATTGATTCTAGTAGAAGAAGTTATAATTCTTTACATGTGCTTGAGTTTAAGTTTATATGAACAAAGAAAACATGTTTGAGAGAGTTAGCTTGAGCTTTACAATACTTGAATTTGACCTAATTAAATAACATATAAAAAATATGCTTGTTGTATCAAAAGGTTTCTCTCTTTTACCATTATGGTGAGTGTGATTTGTTATGAGATTTTAATTATTGTCAATGCACCATATTTAACTAGTTTTAAGTGTGAATCAATACCAGTTATTGAAATGGGAAGATGGCAAATGTAGGAAGAGGGAAGCAATGGGATGAGAGTCTGGAGGTACTAGGGGCAATTGCCCTCACAAGCTAAGATAAAATTATGCAAATTGACTCTAAAAAGTTTTAGTTGCCCCTTCAAAAAATTTCAATTGCTCCCATCATTTTAAAAAATTCATTTGTCTCCTTAAAAATTTTACTTATTTTATTAAAAATTTGATAACTCTAAATCTTATCTATATGCTGCGCCTTAAGTAGAAATAGTTTTAGAATAGAAGAGTAATAATTTAATAAAATATTTTGTTTACAGAAAATTTTATCACAAATTAATTCTCTTTCATACAAAATAGGTATATAGATTTAATTTAATAAAAATAAAAACATGAAACTAATAGAAATTAAAAAAATTTATATAAAGATAATTTTTATTATAATTTTATGTTTTATGCATTGTTTTTAATATTTAATTTTATTAAATTATGCCTTTAATATACTTTTATAAATAATTAAATTTATATTTTTAATAAAATATTAATATTTATTTTAAGATAAAATATGCCCCATCAACTTATTTTTCCGGGCCCGTCATCACTGATGGGAGTGAAGAGTTACGTAATGAGATATAACATGCCAATATTAAATTCTCTCGATTAAATTAATAAAATAGTCTATGTAAATTTAATTTTGTAATCTTATATTATTTGAATCGGTGAATGACTTTAAATATTTAGGTCAATCTTGTAAATTTGAAATTAATTTATTTAATTGTTTTTTGGAAGATGATAATGGTCATATCAACCTATCAATATCCTATTCTCCCCACGACATCAATTAATTTCTTTTGACTTCACGGGACACTCATTATAATAAACAACACTTTAAAGATAACGAAGCTGTCATCTCAGTTCTCAGTCTCACAGTGTACTTCCCCCTCGTCTCCACTGATTACATACCAGAAGCTATGGCTGCTGAGCTTGTGGGTGGAGCATTTCTCTCTGCCGCTGTTCAAGTTGCTTTTCAAAGGCTGGCGTCTTCTGACATCACAAACTATTTTCAATCAAGAAAGCTCAAGGATAGCTTGTTCAGCAAACTTGAAATCACTCTCATTTCATTGAATCAAGTGCTTGATGATGCAGAAGCAAGGCAATACACAAAGCCCAATATCAAGAAGTGGCTTCATGAGCTCAAACATGTTGTGTATGTGGCCGATGAACTCTTAGATGAGATTGCTACTGAGGCAACCAGGTTGAAGTTCGAAGCTCAGAATGAAACTGCTACCAGTAAGGTACGAGGCTTCTTTACTACTTTTGTTAATCCATTTGACAAACATATTGAGTCTAGGGTTCAACAAGTACTTGACGATTTGGAGTTTCTTGCAAAACAAAAGGATGTTCTGGGATTGAAGGAAGGTTCCTGTGGTGGTAGTGAAGTTCGAATTAGGAAAGTCTCCAACAGATTGCCAACTGCATCTTTGGTGGCTGATGAGTCCGGCATATATGGTAGAGATGGTGATAAAGAAAAAATGATTGAGCTTTTGCTTAATGATGATTTGAGTAGGAACCAAGTTTCTGTGATTTCTATAGTGGGTATGGGTGGTTTAGGTAAGACTACCCTTGCTCAATTAGTGTACAGCAACAATAGGGTGGAGAATCAGTTTCAACTCAAAGCTTGGGTGTGTATTTCAGAAGAATTTGATGTTGTTAGAATTACTCAAACAATTCTTTCTGCACTTGGATGCTTAGTAACTGCATATGAAGACCTTAATCAGCTTCAGTTGAAATTGAAAGAGAAATTGGTGGGGAAGAAATTTTTGCTGGTGCTTGATGATGTTTGGAATGAGCGCCAATCTGATTGGGAAGCCTTTCAAGTTCCTTTTTTCTATGGGACATTAGGAAGTAAGATCATTGTTACAACACGTAGTGAAAAAGTAGCATCAGTTGTGTGCTCTAGTAGAGTGTTCCGCATGACTTTATTAAATGAAGAAGATGGTTGGAAGTTATTTGCAGAATATGCATTCAGAAATAAGGATGATAGCATGTGGACAAATCTTGAGTCAATAGGTAAAAAAATTGTTGAAAAGTGCAAAGGATTGCCTTTAGCTATAAAAACACTGGGTGGCCTCTTGCATACAAAATCATCAGAGAAACAATGGAATGACATTCTTAATAGTGAAATATGGCAATTGCTAGATGATGAGAGTGATGTAATACCAGCTTTGAGATTAAGCTATCATTACCTTCCTTCTAATTTGAAGCAGTGTTTTGCATTTTGTTCTATATTTCCTAAAGACTACAAAATTGAGAAGGATTCTCTAATCCAAATGTGGATGGCAGAAGATTTGTTGCATTGCAATCAAGGAAATAAAAATGTGGAAGAAATGGGAAGTCAAATCCTGGTTGAACTAGAATCGAGGTCGTTTCTCCAAAAGTCAAAAATTCATAATAGGTATGTCATGCATGATCTCATCAATGATCTTGCAAAATCAATATCAGAAGAATTTTGTTTAAGGATTGAGGATGGTAAAGTGCAAAATATTCATAAAAGGATTCGCTACCTTTCATACTCAGCTTTACTTGATAGCAATGAAATGTTGCTGGAGCCTTTTTATGAGTGTAAGCAATTACGATGTTTTGTGTCTTTTAAACGAGCAGCATTCTCCTTTAAAGAGGGAATGGATGAGGGTGAAATATTATCAAAATTTAAGTACTTGAGAATTTTGAGCTTGAAAAGTTTTGAAAATATTACTAAATCAGGTGTTGGTATGAACAATTCAAAGCACCTCCGTTATTTAGACCTTTCTGACACCAGAATTGAAAAATTACCATGTTCAATTTGCAAACTGTATAATTTGCAAACTTTGAAATTGTGTGGCTGCACTCAAGTTGTTGAGTTGCCTCCAGATTTGCACAAATTGGTGGACCTGCATTATTTTGACCTTTCTAAAACTAAGATCAGCAGGTTACCTGATTCGCTTTGTAAACTGCATAATTTACAAACATTGAAACTGCAGGCATGTCAATATTTGGTTGAATTGCCACCTGGTTTACACAATCTCATTAATCTCCATCATCTTGATATAAGTTGGACTAGCATAAGGGAGATGCCAAACAACATGGGAAGGTTAAAACATCTTCAAATATTGACTAGCTTTTATGTGGGAAAGCACAGTGGGTCTAATTTGAAGGAGTTAGGGAAACTCAATTATCTTCAAGGCAGTCTTGAGATCTCTAAATTGAAATATTAATGACATTATAGATGCTAGGGAAGCCCATATCAATGATAAGAAGTACTTATATAAATTGGATCTGCAATGGAGTGGAAACAATGAGGATTCACAGAGAGAAAGGTTCACCTTGGAAGGTCTTCAACCTCATGTCAACTTGAAAGAGCTTGCTATTAGAAACTTTGGTGGTACAAGATTTGCAGACTGGTTTGATGCTCCTTATTTGCCCAATTTAGTATCTCTTGTGTTGCGAGCATGTAAATATTGTTTTTGTTTACCACCACTTGGGCAACTACCTTCTCTCAAGTCAGTTCATATTTCTAAATTAGAGGGATTAAAGAAGATTGGGCGAGAGTTCTATGGGAATAATAATTTGTCATGTGTTCCTTTCCCATCCCTTGAATATTTGTTTATTGCTGGAATGTTAGAATTGAAAGAATGGATTCATTTTGATGGTGCATGTTTCCCCTGCCTCAAAGAGATTGTTATAAGATATTGTCCCAGGTTAAGAAAGTCACTTCCTCCCCACATGCCATGTTTAGAAAAGCTAGAGATTGAACAATGTGGAAATTTGGAACTGGAATCATTCCCTGCCAAGGCATTCTCTGCTCCTAAACTTGAATCTATCCATCTTGCTGGGTTGACCCATTTGAAGTCACTACATGAAGACATGCATACACTCCTTCCCTGTGTTCATTCTCTATCACTATTTCACTGCCCACAGCTGCAGTCAGTTCCTCAGAAAGGGTTGCCTTTGAGCCTTGTCCAAGTTTCAATCCATGATTGTCCTAAACTTTTTGCTTCTCGTATGAGCTGGGGCTTGCATAGACTTCATTCTCTGCATGAGTTCTCTATTGGTGAAAATTTTGAAACTGTGGAGTCTTTCCCAGGAGAGGGCTTGCTGCCATCCAATCTCAAAGTTATTCGATTTGAAGGATTTTCAAATTTGATCAGAATAAATAGCAGTGGCCTTCTTCCCCTCACATCTCTTCAAGGATTAAGAATCTATAACTGCCCAAATCTCCTATGCTTGCCAGAGGAAGGTTTATCAAGGTCCATTTCCTATTTAGTTATTGATGGGAATTGTCCATTTTTGACACAACGGTACCAAAAGAATGGACAAGAGTGGCACAAAATTTCTCACATTCCTTGGGTATGCATTAGCTAATACTCCGTTCCAAGAGTTTTGTTAGCTTCTAAAGCCTATATAGGTACTTCTTTTACCTTATACTAACATGTTTGCTTTATTTATTAAGTTTTCACTTTTTCATGCAAGGGCATCATATTTATTACAACAACATATGCACCTCAATCCTGAGTTTCAATCTATGTTAAGCAAATTAGTGATGATGTTATCCTCTCCTAAAATCTTGTCCACAGAACCACATGCTCGAAGCTTCCACTATCCAACCTGCATCTTCTCTCTAAGCCCTCTGCAATTTCATGTGATGATAATCCTAGTTGTTGTCTTCATTTTCCTTAGCATCTATGGTGCTTCCAAAAGGAAGTTTTCAAAAGTACAAATGAACATTATTGCTTTTAGTTTGATGATTATCTTTGATAGATACTTCAGTTTGGTTCTTCTTCGGCTCTTCAACAAGGGCAAGAAAGGAGGACCCATCATTTTCCATCAAAGGGGTGCAGTTGTTCTTTTGTGCTCTTGCTTATTGTTGTTTTCTAAGGATTCACCATCTAGTCATGGGTTCTCTACGATAGGATCATTGAATCTTGGCACATCTTCAAATAAGAAAACACCAACAAATAGTATTAATGGAATCAAAGAGGTTATAAACTGGAAAGTATAGATAGACATTTGTCAGAATCTCCTTCATGCAAAAATTCAGTATCCACTCTCCCTTCAAGTAAGCCTCCTAATCCAAGTTCAAAAGAAATCACTCTTCAAAGGCCCACTTATATGTTGAGCTTGGTAATCTTGACTCTATGTTAGAATGAATTCAGTAAGCTCGTTGGTGTTATTCCCTTCAAAAAAGATATTTATCCTACTTTATGCTGTTTCTATCATGCTTTTCACTAATGATACTTTTTTTCATTCTTTAAAAAAAGAATAAAATTCTTCTCTGCTTGGCTTCTTTTCTGGAGGTTTGATTTTTAAGATAAAATTATATGTAGTTTGAAGAAATTTATAGTAAATGCTAACAAACATGATTTTTCATTTAATTTCATTTGTCAATGAATGAAGGACTTTAAATCCATGATACTGAGATTATGACTATTATAAATATATGATATGATAGGAGATGGTGCTAAATGGATATGGTTTAATGTATGGAATATTGTTTATATGGAAAGAAGTTTTGTAAATGAGGATAAAAACTTGAATAATGGTTCTCTGATGAGAAGGATTGTGATAAATCATGAAACACAATTGTCTAACATATTGACATTTCACTTTCTGTCATGCTTGAGAACTTAATCACAATTGGCCTGACTGAGGGGTGGGAATTTTTGCTTATTTTACTCAGTGCCTTGTACTGGCTTTTGAAAACTGTTGCAAGTGATGAATTGATTGGCCTTGAAGTTTTTCTGGTTGCAGGAAGTTTATGACCCCATTCTTGTTCATTCATTCTATCTGAGATCAATTTATTTATGTTGGATGGAGTCATTTTCTTCAATGCCTCTTCACTGGCATCTATAAATGTGTAAAGTGATGAATCAATTGACCTTGAAGTGTTCCTGTTCAAAATCTGGTTGGTCGTATTGCACTTTGGCATTCATTCTATTTGAGGTCTGTTTATTTGCCTTGTGAAGGAAGGTGATATTATATGGCACAAACCAAGGATTTTGTGAAATCAATCAAATGATTGATCAATTGTCTTCAAAAGTTTCTCTTCTTTTACCCCAGACTGTCGTTTTAATTCAATATTTATAGTTGACATTAAGCCTCTGAATCTTACTATGTCCTTCATCTGCTTCTTTTATATCATCCGTTACCATTTACTTTTCTGTTTGTTGTTGAATTGGTATCTGAAATAAAACCACAAAGCTTGTCAATTGATGTTGGAATGAGTGAAAAATTGGCTAAAACTGATTGTACTCAAAATAGTGAAATTTGTGAATTAGTTGTTCATGGTCAAAGGTCCGATAGTGCTGTATCTCCTTCTGCAGCTTGGTTTCTTCAACACTTATGAATGTCCTAACCTCAGAACATTATAGAGAGGAACAGATAACCAATATATATGCCTGTGAAGTTGTTCCTAAAAGCATTGTACAAAAGCATGAAACTAAACTGATTACATTGTTCTGTATTGTCAGCAAAAGTCTCAGTTCAATGGTGAAAATCATATCTTTGGTTCCCTACATAGTTTTCAAATCTAATACTCTCCACCACCATCCCTGGCTTGATTCTTGAGCTTGGATGGTTCTTATCTTGACGTCTTCAATTTGGAGCATAGAAGAGCTGGTTGATATGCCAGAATAAGTGAAATAGTACCAATGTTTCAACAACTATTTGATACTTTGTTGAATTTACAGGCAAGCTAGAAATCTTGTTTAAGGTATTACGATTAGGAAATGGTTCTAGTGCATTTCTCTAGAGAAGTGCACCAAATTCAAATCCGTTACAAGTAGACTTTGTAGCAAAAAAAATCCAATATTATATATGCTATGAAGTTATTCCCAGTACCAGTAGTATGATAGTATGAGACTAAGCTAATTACATTTTTCTTTATGAAATTTGACACGTTATTCCCAATACTACAACTAGTCATCCCAAATTTGATTCCTGGGCTTTTGGAATTCATTTTTTTCATAATTCCTCATGAAAGTCAGATATTTTGCTGCATGACTGTGTTTAATAATGTTCAGCACTGTCCATGGCTTGATTCCATGGTTGGATGAGGACGTTGATGACCTTTATCTGTATTATGCAGGCAAGCTAGAGATACTTGTTAAAGCTTGGTAGCAAAAATCCCTACTCATTTTTTCATTCAGGGTGAGTATGTAAACCTTCATGCAGTTACTAGGCACTTTGTATTCATCAAAAAAGAAGCTCAATCATGTAATTTTATTGAACTGAAAATTTTCATTCCTGTCTTCTGAGTTCTATGGTGTTGTATTAAATCCATCTCTTAAATCTGCTAATTTTCCAGCTGCTTGGAAATGTTGAAGAGCAATGCTACTATATAGGAGACCATATTCATAGCCAAAGCAGAATTTTGTTCCATCTGCAATGGCCAGCAAATTGTGTTTCTGGCTTTCCTGTCCGTGCTACTTGTACTGATGCTGAGAAATTGGACATTATGATGTTAGAGAACAAGCCTTGGATTAAGAGGCGCACATGAAAAACTCTTGTAATGAGAACTTAATAAATTATTAGTTGTTGTAAGAACACTGACTTCTATAAAATTATTGAAATTGATTCTGCTGCTTTAATACCAGCTGGAATATATGAATGTTGGTCATTTTGAAATTATAACTGAACACTGGAATTGATTCTCCTATGTGAGGTTAGCTTTATTTTTATTTATTACTTTGTATGCTTCTTTAAATTTTTTATTTAAAATATTATGTTTTTAGGTGTTTGCCTCTCATTGATAATTAATTAGAAAACTATTATTATTATTATTATTATTATTATTATTATTATTATTATTAAAAATATATTTTTTACTAAAAATTATTACTTTATCAAATATTTTTTCTTAATACATTTTTATGTGCTGCCCTTGCATCTTTTTTTTTTTACTTATAAACAAACATAACTGTTTTTTTTTTCATTATTTGGCATTCAAAATGGATTATTTTATTTTTTGTATTCCGATCAGATAATTCAAAATGATTTGTTCATTTTCCTTGAGTTAGCATTTGGATTTAAGACCTCCAAATTAAATTTGAGATTATTTGTTATTAATTAAACTAATTGTTTTTGAGTTCTGTAATCATTTAAATGATTTTTTTTCCTTATTCTTTCTTGCACCTCAGAAAAGATTTTTCTTGTCACATCAAATATAATTGTAAATTCAAAAATTTCAGCCGCTCTCTTTATTTTTATCAATTTTTTTATTTTATGGATCCAACGCCGAGTGATCAACTTAAACATAAACTATTGCGTCAGAAAACAACTGAATCTATATCACTGTAAAACATATAATTGTTATGGTCCATCTACTGTTATATGAACAGTAGTAATTATTTTTAAAAAATATTCTGTGTACTGAAAAATTATGTGAGACCCACAATAAAAAAAAAAATGAGTGTTGATTGAATTTTATATATGTATGTATAAGATAATAAATTAGAGAACAAAATTCGAAGTTAAACAACTTTTTATTATATTGGTTGAATTTTAATTAATGTAGTATGTAGCAACTTAGTTAAAAGAAATCTATCTTTTGCCTTCAATACCTTGACAAAGAAATTTTTGTTGTCTGACAAAATTTGCTCCTTACACTTACGCTATAGAATACATAAAGTAACAAATTTGTTAGTAATATATAAAGGTAACTACGGCTTTATAATAAAAAATATTATTGCAATTATATGCTTCAAAATTAATCATATGCATGAATTCTTTTTTTATTGCACGCATTCTAGATATCTATTAATTAGTCATTGTTTTTTCTTTTCATAGGCATATATATAATTAATAAATAGTACCATAACATCGATTTTTCTATGTGCTTAATTTAAAATTATTATCTCATGATTAGTTTTAATTTTGCCTATAATTATAATCTATAAATATTATCATAACATAAATTATAGTGCATGATTCATTATATTACATGTTTCATTTTTCTATGCCTTGGCCAACAAATTCTGAAAGAGAATAAAACAAGCTAATTTTATTTTGCAGGATGTGAGAATAAGTTCATTGTTTATAATTTTTAATTATTTATATGAAGCAAATAGTGAAATATCTAAAATATTTGTTGTGGAGTAAATTTTCTTTTTCAATTAATTATAAAGAGTATAACTTAATAAAAAATTAATTTTTCAACCTAATCTCAAAGTTTTCCCTCACATTAATTAAGGAAGATCACAAGTAGTGTTGCCTCTTTGAATCCATATGAGAGCCACATGTTTTAAAATGTTAAAAAATCATACATGTAGTACATAACAATGACATCTTGAGAACGATTTTCTAATACCTATATACCAAAAAATTTAAAAAAAAATCTAGTTTTATGCATAAAATTTAAAAGGAACAAATGTCCATATCTGATTTGGCAATCAATAAACGAGCAAATTATACAATTCTTAGTTGACTGAAGTTACCAAAATATTCGCACGCCTTCATACATATCAACATCAAACACTGTAAGTTTTGTTATATTCTCAATGTTCCTTTTCTTGTTAGTTATAAATTATAAGACTCTACCACTTGGAGCCATTAATTCGAGCTAATTTAAATAAGTTCTAAAAAAAATTAGGACTGCACTTGAGTTGAGTTCCCGAATAGATTTTTTAAAAAAATATATTAAATATTAATTAAAAATTAAAATTATTTTATATTAACAGAGATTTATATTAATTCTTTGAATTACATTATTGCAGACACGTTCTTAAAATATAAAATATCTTAAAATCTTAATATTGTTATATGTTTACTATTTTTAATTTATAAAATATTTTAAAATAATCTTTAAAAATTGTAATCTTGATATTTAAATTCTAAGGCCCACAATTTTTTTTTTAAAAATCAGTCTTCTACATTTTTTAAGTATTCTAAAAATTATATTTATATTTTATAATAACACAAAAAATAAATATTTTTAAAATAAAATTTGAAATTTGATTTATAACATGAAAAAAAAATTGCTATTCAAATATTCAGGTTGATCGAAATAAGTTTGAAGCTTGAGAGTGTTATGGTTAGGCTTAATTATATGAAATTTTTGCCAGGCCTGAATTGAATCAATAAATTTTTTTTATAATCTTTTACTTTAAAAATTAAATCAATATAATTTTAAAGAATTATTTAATTTGATCAAGAATGCCCTATCTCAATCTTTCGACTCATGAATTTTTAAGAGAGATTATATTTTAACATAATACGGTTCCTAGGTATTAATTTAGCTTTGTTTTCGTTTTCTATTATATAAAAAAATAGCTTTCTCTCAAATAATCTGTCTTGTTAGTAATTATAAAAAACAACACGTAAGATGTTGTGGGGAAGATATGATTAGAAGCAATCTATTACTTTTAAAATTATATTTTGATATTTGGTCCTTCTAAATAATAAATAAGGAGAATCATATTAAGAATCACTCAAACAAATTATTCACAGATAAAGATCAACAACAATCCTCATTTGATAAAAAGTAAGTCATATTTTCATTTTAATAACAATTTATTCTGTATTAGTCTTTATTTATGAATAATTTTTTTTAAGTGATCCTTGGATGTGATTCTCACTAATAACTATATTTAAGATACTCTCCAATAAATATTAATTTTCAGGTCCTTTGTTATAATTTCCCTTTTAAATGTAATATACTATTTAATAAGGACAAATGTAAAAAAAAAAATATTTTCCTTCAAACAACATCAATTATTCAATTATCTTTTCTTAATTCCAATAAAGTAATTAAAAATAACTTATAGGATAACATTTAGTATTATTGGAAGACAATTTTTAACATCTTACTTTAAAAACAATATTTATTAAACATATCATGGTAATCAAATATCTATTATGATAATTAAGAATACAACTTATTTTTTAGAAATGTTACCATGGTAGGAAAGAGTTTACATTAATATAAAAGAATCAAACCTACTTAAAGCATACTATACAATGTAGAGAAAGATTTACCTTTATTAAATAAAACCATTTTGAAGCTAACTATCATGGTAAAGAGGATTCTATCATATTAGAGAGAATTAAACTTTAATAAACAGAACTACCATGACAAATAGCAGTTGACTAAAATAAAAAGGTCTACCCAATGAGATTTCATTTTCAAAACAAGTTTGAAATCTAAATATCATAATAAAATATAAACAACAATAAAAAAAATCAGAGTTTATAAGTGTAAGTTAATCAAAAACATAACATGATTATTTTCAAAATACCTAAATGAGTGATTCAAGTGTTCACTCTAAAATATAGAACAAAATCCATTTGCTAGCTTTAGCTTGATTCCCAAACATTTTCATATGGGGAAAAAAAAACTGCATCTACAAACCCATTTAGGGCCTCAAAAATGGTTCCTAAATAATAAACTTCATAAAACAAACCAATGCAAGCATTTAGTATGAACAAATTGCCATAACCTAATTATCCACTTCATCATATACAATTCATATCATCAACTAAACACAAATACAATTCACAATTAAGTTACAACTACCCAACATACTTTATATACTACCCAACATAATTTATATAAAGCTAAACACAGTTAAACTCATGCTCAAAACACACATAAATTCTTAAATATAACAAATTAAGACTATGAGTGTTTAGACATAATTCTCATTATTAATACATGCAAAATCTATCAAAAACTAAAGTCTACATGCTCAATTACATTTAAAGTTCTCTTAAGTTGGCAAATATATATTCAATCTTAAAATGAGTCATAACAACACAAACTGGTGTTTCATACACCAAGTTTAAGCCTATAGTGTTTCCCCAGTTGGACTGACTGCTATAAAAATATTAACTACGAAAAATGAGACAAAAAGCTTGCAATAACCAAAGCTACTATGCAATAATGCATGCCATGCAACTAATTATGTGACCATTAAGTAGGGTATGCAAAACAATTTTCAAAACAATTTAATTCAAAAAAATTCCAAACAATTCTAAACATATTTAAACAAAAGATGTAAGACTACCACCTTATATCCTCCTTTATCTTGGACTGAAGTTCACACCTGACACCTAACTCATTCAACTAAAGGTAAGCTAGTTCAAGTGATAAAGTGTTAGTCGTGGATTAGAGGAGAGCATACCACAAGGTATATTTATTTCTAAACAACAAATCTCAAAAATAACCTCCCACAATACAACAATTCATGCGTATATGATTTTTGAACAAATATGAATTCCAAATAATGATATATTCTTCCAAACATGAAAATTCCATACCAAACATAATTATATATATCAATATTTTTAATCCCACAAGCAATTTATTTTCAAACAATAATTATACATTTCTAAAGTATATAGTTCCTAAACAACACTTAATTTAAATAAAATATACGAATTTAAATAAAATATACTCAACTAATTACACAACACACACTACAATATAATAGTAAAGGTTACTTTTGCTTCTAACAAGCAAGTTTTCCCAAATAAGCAAATTACTGCCACAACGATGAGAACACCGTACTCTACATAATATTTATGCCAAGCATATTTAGTATTAGTGATTAAACACTAATTATAACATAATTCTAAGCTTAGATTAATTAATCTAATTAACTCAACACCCTTCCATACATTTTAAATCTTTAACCTT